ATATACACATATATATATGACATATCTTATATATACATATATATGCACCCACTAAATACTGACTATATTGTTTTACCAATTCATCTTGTAAGTCAATTATTCTCTTGATTGATAATAACAATCACCCATAACATTCAGACAGTTGTAGAAATCTACTTGGCTCTCAATGAATGTGACTCTACCACCTGCATCCATATGTAAGTAGATCACATAAAAGACAAACTATTTGCATAAATGATCCTGTAGAATTTAAGAATGGTGTAGCTTAGAGTTTATATTTATGCATAACTCATACTCTAATTCGGGGTGAAGGGAAGGAAATCTGATAAGGCTGGCTTATGAGTCTGTAATGTCCTGCTTTAATACTCAGCTACTTTCCACCCTTTGTGACTATCTGAGAAAATTTCCAAGAGTTATATAACGTAGGAAATAGTTTCACGCATGAGTTAGCCGAAAGGAATGCTCTATCTTCATGCCTTTGGGTGCCAGTTGACTCAAAAGCAACATGATCCAACCCAGCTAAATTCAGTTCAAGTCAACTCATACTTACTAATATGCAAAGCACTCTGCTAGGGATATGGAGAAAATAAAAACAAGCACAAGCTGGGCCTAAGGCATCTCTAGGGAATACAGTAACGCACTTCACCAAATTTTCTCGTGAGACAAAAATCCACTTGTGCTAAGAGTAATTAGTCTTCCTTCTCATTTTTCATTTGTTTTAACTTCTCTTCCAAATAGAGTTCTGAGGATGGAATGATATCATTACTATCATCCAATCCAAGATATGTGAGTTGTCTCTAGCCTCCAACTGTATAAAAATACATGCCTCCATAGTAAGTAAATATGTAACTCGTAACTACGTTGACCTTACATATAACTTCTATTTAGTCTTAAAAAGTTCTCATGGGAACTGAAAACTCACAATCAACTAAATAAGGACAAGGTAGTAGATTCTAACATTGCCAAATTTTTGAAAAATAATCAGTCCTCATTTCTAAAGATAACAATCATTACTTATATGGTTCAGAGTGTCAAAGATAAAGTGTTTTTTTGTTTTCTTTTTGTTTTTTTTTTAGGCAAGGTAACTCTTGGGTGACCTCACAGATTGCAAGGACCTTGTCAGCTTACAATCCCTTATTTTATTTTATTTTTTGTTTTATGCCTACAGGACCTGGTCTTCCTAGGTGGTCTCCCATCCAAGCACTAACCAGGCCCGACTCTGCTTAGCTTCTGAGATCAGATGGGATCGGGCTTGTTCAGGGTGGCATGGCCATAGACAAAGATAAAGTTTTTGAATGTTACTCAGATTGGGTCTTTAAACAGTTTTATTAACTGAAACTTTGAATAAACATCATGCCTTCATTAACTGTATTTCAATTAGGCTTTTTCAAATTTAGGAAAAAAAGCCCAATCTGAAAATAATGAGGTGATAGGCATTTACACTGGTTTCAAGGAAAATATTGTACATATCATACAACTTCCATAATTTCTTCCAAGTGTGCTTTACTAGAAAAAAATGGTTACTTTTTTATTATATAACTAAAAAAAAAAGTATGCTTTATTCATGAAATGGTTACTAAAAAAAAGTAAAATAGAAAAGTTCCTGAATTTAGCTTTCCTGCTTCATATTTACATAAAATTCTATCTTATTGTGATGATCGTAAATCTAAGAATCACATACACATTCGTATAGTCACTTATACAACAATAAGTAAAAATTTAAACTCTACAGAAAGCATATGCTTTATTATCCTACGCATACCATGTTACCTGACACATAGGTTTTTATAAAAAGTGATCTGGTATCTGGAAAACCCTATGGAATTTGGGAAATTAGAGAGGCCTAGTATGAATCTTGACTTCGCCAATTATTGGCTCCATGACATGGGCATGATACCTAGTCTCTCTACCCTCCCCCTACCCCCTTATTTGTAAAAATGGAGTAAATTTTATAAACTTGCAGGGTCATATGAAGATTTGAGTTACCCTACATAATCAGTCTAGCAAAGGTCCTCAATAAATGGTAGCCACTATTGTTATTAGTAATATATGTGAACATCATTTTTGTAGATTGTGGGGAGACCTGTACTGCGGCAACTCCCCTCTTCCTTCAGAGCACATGGATGGCCACAGGGGAGCAGTATATATGAAGAGGGAGACCACCCACATCCACTGGGCTCCCTCAAGATGTTTACTGGACTGAAAGAATGGTGTAGTGGAAAGACCGGTGGTGGCGGAGTCAAAGAGGGCTCCCTTTGCCCCCTGCAGCACAGACAAGACTACATCACTGAAATGCGCCTGCCTTTGTGCACTCTGAAGACGAGTGACTTTATTTCTTCAATAAACCAATACTTACTCTGAATGATCTCTAATGTCCCCGCTACCTTGCTCTCACAGTCAGTCTATACTGAAAAGGTTGTCTGTAAAGTTTCAATTAAAACATTAATTACACAGTAAAAGTTTGCCACAATAAAAAATGTATATACTCACACAACATGAACAGTTTATTAATGATAATATACATTTCACCTTATTTTTTTTAACTTTTTAAAAATTAAGTTTATTGGGATAACATTGGTTAATACAATTATATAATTTTCAGGTATACATTATAATTTCACATCTGTATATTCTATTGTGTGTTTACCACCCAAAGTCCAGTTTCCTTCAGCTACCATATATTTGATCCCCTTTACTCACTTCACCCTCCCCCTGCCCCTCTATATTTGACCCCCTTTACTCCACCTACCTCCCTCTTCACCTTATATTTTATATTGCATTTTTATGACTTTTCAATTTTTGTTTCTTGTTAATTCATCTTTTGTCTTCAAACTGTTATAATCCTGAGAGTTTTTTTTTTAGTTAGTTTTCTGAACACAATACTTAAAAGCCAAATTACCAATTCAAAGCCAGATATCTGACAACACCATCATTAAAGATTATACTTTTTCTACAAACACTTAATCAACAAACTCTCAACAAGCAACATTTATAAACAAAGTATTGGTCTTGGTACTAAGGACATAGAGGCGAATAACTCAATTCTGCTCTTGTGGAACTCCGTCTGGTAAGAAATACAGGCAAATCACCATATAGTTGGAGAAAGGCTGTGAAAGGATAAGCACCCAACCTAGTCTGGAATGCCAAAAAAGAAAGTGACATGTGAGTTGAGAGTTGAAGAATGAGTAAGGGTTGGTCAGCCTGTCCAACAGCATAAAGACATGAAACTCTTGCTAAAATCACCATTAGACTAATAGTCCTCACATTAGCACAGCATTCAGTGAATGAATGAAAGAATTTGTGAGACGAGTTGGCCAAGTAATAGTCACTTTAGCCATGTTTGTTCCTTGATAATATAAACACTTTAAATAATATAAACATTTTTAATACTTTATTGTCATTTGATGTCCACTGTGTACAAAACATCCTAGTAGGAGTCAAAGAGAATCATAAAAAGAAGAAAAAGGATAATCTCTGTCCTCAAGAAAGATGCATTAGTTCAATAAATATTTAGTGTGCTTTGTGTTTTTTCCACATGCCTGGCACCGTGCAAGTTGCAGAGAGAAAAAATAATATATACTATTTATTAAAGAGGAGAAACAGAACCATAACAATTTCAGCATTACTAAGTCTTAGTGTTGAGGCCTTCTTAACTTTACCCTATAAATTCACAAATATCTTCTTTTATTTTTACCCTATAAATTCACAAATGTCTTCTTAACATTCTCTAAGCCTTGAAAACTATTATAAAGCAAACTATGTATGTTCCAAAAGACTAAAGGACTAAAAATAAGTGTTGTATTCAACATTAGAGTAAAAGAAAGAAATTAGAATTCCAGTTCCTACACTGCAGTCCCTCTCCTAATCTTCCCATGTTGGCTCAGGTCAAAACAGCCTACCTATTCTCTTCCATATATGCCTCAGCATTCACAAAGTCAAGACTGCCGCACCATTCCTAATGCCTACGTTGCCCTTGTTGCTCCTCGCTCCCTCATCAGTTTATGTGCATGAAAAAGTCACACTGGGTTCTTTTCCATATTTGTTACTTCTCCTTTCTCTTTATTTATGGAACACTTCGTGCTATATCCCTCCATGACTACTTAATGACTTATCACTGACACGTAAGAAAGAGCTTGAGCCTCATAGCATGTAGCTCTATCATAATCTACGACTCAAAGTTCCACAAAAGTTCTAATTTCAAGATCATGAAATATTATACCACACCAATCCTGCAGAGTTTTCAATGTCATACAACTGTGAGAATAATTGGTTTAACTTTTAATCCATATATGATTTTCTTCTGCAAATAGATTATGACCTTCTTGTAAGCAAAAACTAGTAGTTTTTAATATCCCACAGTGTTTCATGCAATATTAGAAACATATCAAATGCTCAAAATATTTGTGAATTATTTATTTTATTGCAAAGAAGACAACAAAAAATGATAATAAATGATAAAAAATGATAATAAAATGACTTTTATTTTGGGGCATCTGAACATATTTATTGGCCTGGAAGAGTTTTACACTAAGACCTTCTTCTTATGTTTAAGATTAGGCAACTTTAACAATTGCATTAATTTTTAAATTATATCAGCCAATCCATCAATCAGCAGCTTTTCCTAAACATCCACTAATGTTACTATCCAGTTTTCTAGGTATTATTTACTTTAATAAATTACGGCTAGGGTAACATAAACATTGTATTCCCTAATATTCTGAAAAACATAAACTTACCAGGTATTAATACATGAGCCTCAAAATTTTAATTATACAATCAATAAATATAAAATACTTACCTATGAATTCATATAAATATGCTATAATATAAATCACCATAATTCCTAAGACCTTAGTAAATTTTAGCTAAATATAAAATATTTATAGAATATTTTAAAGTCAAGCTAGTTCCCAAAGTTTACATAACGAATTCACTCAATGGTGGATTTGTTTCTACCTGATGCTGTATGAGAGGTTATTCACAAATAAATACTCAGCAAAATAGCTTCTAAGACATACCTTAAATTACTTAGAAACTTGAAAAAGAACAAAAAAAGGCAGCAATTTGCCAGTAAGCTCCCGTATGATCTTTGATATCTTTAAACCAAAGGAATTTCTATACTTTCACCATTCCCAAATTTTAGAAACTTTAGAAAACCTTTGCCCCCAAATGCCATAAAAATATTATCATTTTCTGTATATGCCATTGTGTTAAAAAAAAAAGGGGGGGGGCTGGAAAGCACTACTATATCCTAATACTATGATAGAATTAAAAAATATTGTAAGGAATTACATTAGAAAATATAATGTGAAAATAAAACTATTTGCCTCTCACATTATTGAAGTCGGTATCAGCTAGCATGTTTTATAGTACAATATCCAGAAACCATTTTTAAAAAATGGGACATATTGGCTCATAGAACTGATAAGCTTGATTTAGCACCAAGAACCCAGGTTTTCTGTGGCTCAGCTCTGTATTCCACCTGGACTCTCACAGTGGTTTCCCAGCAACTACCAGTGCTCCCTTGGTAGTCCCAAAATGTCCACAGCATGCCCAAATCTCATATCAATCCTCACATGACCTCCCACCTCCCTTCACTGCTCATTCAGGTAGCCCATCCTGATCACTTGTGGTTCCAAAGCTATGTGTACATGTACATGTGTGTGTATATATACATAAAAATATACGTGTGTGTGTGTGTGTGTGTGTGTGTAGTCTAATATGTGGGTTCAGTTAAAATAATTTTGGAGGTCAAGACCAGTATTTATTTTTAATTAAATGTAATAGAGTTTAAAATACCAAAGGTATCACATATAATAACAATATTGTTTCTATAAAATTTTTGTTTCACTGTGTATGTGTATGTGTGAGTATATATATACTATATCAAATATAAAATGATTTCTTACTACATGCCTTGCAGCTCCTCTCAAGGGCTGAATGAGCAATATGAGCAAGTCATCAAAGGCATGAAATAGCATGATAAAATTGTAAGTTACTGAAACTAACTAGAGCAAGACAGGAAGTGAACGGGGCTGATCTGCTGAGAGCCAGAGGACAAGGTAGAAACCTCGAGGGAAGCAGTAAGGTTTGGAAGGGACACAAAGAAGATGGGAAGGTGGTGACTGAGGGCCCAACTAGACTGGAGACCCCAAATGTGTGGCAGGCCACGTAGGAATAACTGAAGCAGGGGGTTGGTTTGAAAAAAGGGAAGTTGAATGCCAGAGGTGCTAACAAGAAACTGCTAACATAAAACATGGTGCCATGGACAGAGAAAGAAGCAAAGCAATGTGTTCAGAAAGAAAGGAAGCGAGAGATCAAGGTCTCAAAACACAATGTAAAGGGTAATGATGTGAGGATAGATGGTTTAGGACCCTAGGGGATAGAGCAGTTCTAGATAATGACAAGGTTTGGGGCAAGTCCTGGTTGGCTTAAAAGAAGTAGACAACAAGAACTTAGAAGTAAGTTTGGATGGTTGTGCTAGTAGATATTTGGATAACCCATTATGGTGGCAAAAGTTGGGGTGCAATGGAAGAGCATGAGCCAAGTACAAAGCCCTCAATAGTCAGAAAATCAATAAGCATGCTAAAATGACACACATAAAGAAATCCTATAAAAATAAGAATCTTTAGGACAAGGTTTCTTCAGAACACTGAACCAAACTGGAGAGTTTGGAAGGGAAGAATCTGTGTGGGAAAGGTAGTCTCAACTGTGGTATATCAGGAAGTCCTGAAGAAAAACTTTTGGAGAGAGGCAGAGAGATAAAAGGAACACTGACCAACCATCTGAAAGATGATGATCTCCCAACAGGAAACAGTCAACCTTTAAGTTTCTCTGTCCTGCTTTTCCGGGACTTTTGTTGTGCCTCACTTCTTCCAAAGAGGCAGAGAAAAATAACAGCATTTGGGCTAGTAGTAGTATAAAATTAAGTCACAATTTTTGCAGCTACTCAATACAGTTATATTATTCAAAGAAATATTTCATCCTCCACTTGCACGGTCTTCTCTAGTTTAGAAATGTCTTATCTTGCTATTGAATTTCATAAGGTTAAATTTCCCCATATGTGCACATGGGTTCTGTATCATCCATGTTGTGAGGCTCTGTCACATTATTGTATTGAAGCCATTCCGGCCCTCATGTTATATATATCAGCACTTACTCACTTTCTCCTTCTTCCTCTCTCTCTTTCATTTCATGATTTTAATAGCAAAAACTAGAAACTTAATTTTTCTTCCCTTGCCTACAGCACAAATATTGCCCGTGGGTGTACACACACGTAGACACACACACTCACACACACATTTCCAAGCACTGTTTTTGCAACTATCACAAAATAACTAAATTTGAGATTGAATAGCAGTCTAATTTATTGTTTTATCATCAAAATTTCTACTTGCTCATGAGTATTAATATAATCTGTTTAGATGTTTTAGATAGGAATTCTTAATAATAATTGGCATCAAATTCCTTAACTGTATTATTTGCTCCCCCCTGTGGTAATCTGACGGCAAAAAAAGAAAAAAAGGATCCTTAAGAACAGAATCACAATTCGTAACTCATTCATGAGTGACATAACAATGGTACGTGTCTTGCTAGAAAAAGGCTATCGATAGAAACTGTCACAACATTCTTTTCTTTCCATGTAATCTGCATAATGTATGACCCGGAAACCTACTGGGCTAAGGGCTAATATTTGGCAATGGGCTAAGGCAGAAATTTAGTATCTAAAAATATTTAATGATGAACTAAAAGGAAAGTTTTACTTTAAGGAACATTTATTGAGTGCTTACTCTGTGACAAGCATCGTGTTCTGTGCTTTACAAGATTTGCGATATTTAATCCTCACGAACTGTCATAATAATCTTGTGTAGTGAATGCTATTAGTTAAGAGGAGACAAGTGAGGCTTAGAAAGATTAAATAGTTTGCTATTAGGCATTTAATGACTAAATAATGAAATAAAGAAGAAAAGACCTCTCCTGAAATAGAAAGAGAAATACAAAGTCCATCAAATACCATATTCAAACTAATTTTATATTATGTCTATTAACAGGACATTTGAAATCAAAGTAACAAAAAGTTGGCCTAGCTAAATCCAAAATGGTGGCTAATTTTATAAAATACTTTAAATTACAGAAGTAATCTATTTTAAAGTAATAAAATTTCATAGTAGAATGTCAAACTAGAATCACTGAAAATCTTGTTTAGTGCAATATGAATCCAGTTTATTTTTTCAGGCTTTATTCTTGAGATCTTAAAAATAAATGTAAACATCAAAAAGGTGTTTTTAAATGATCTATTGATATCATTTTTCTTTCCTTTGCTTTTCTAGGCCTAGCTAGATTGAATATTGAGCTGTCTAAAATAGTACAATAGTAGTATTTCTCTACTACTGACATTGCCAGGAAAAATAAGGAACCCCAAGCAAAGTGACCCTCAGCAGTGCTCCTCTAAAGGATGCCAAGTGATGTTCCTGTCGATGCATTTGGTCACCTGCCCTCGCACACAGAAAGTCTAAGAATTCTCCTAGTCTTTGGCACTCATTGTAGACAAAATGGCTTCTGGATTGCCATTTTTGCTCAAGATAAGGCCATTTCCTTTCTTGGAAAGCTGGATGTCATGCATGAGAAGTATAGGAGTTTGGAGTTCCTAAGCCCTCTCAAGATTAAGAGCAAGCTTCAGTGAGTAAGGAGAGAACATCAGAGAGGCATAAGTGGCACCACCATGCGTGGGCCCCCCTCTGTCAGCTCCTTCAGAAACTGGACAGGAAAAATCTGCTTGACTGGTGAGTGAGGAACCTGCCTGTAAAGCAGTCAAAGGCAACAGGGGATACGTTTGGCTTTACTGCAAAGTAAAATTGGTTCAAAGTCTATCTGAAGCTGGACAGGAAATTTGCTTACTTACCTACAGTGCTGAAAGCAAACAGTCAGAGTCTCGGGAATCAGCCATATATGGAAACAGCAGGGCAAAATACTTGAGTAAGAAGAATCAACAGAGAGCAGTCAGAAAGGATGCAAACACCACAAAAGATTCATTTGGACAAAATCTGCTTTCATCATCTGTATGTGAGAAATAGCTTAATGGTGAAATATTTCCAAACATTAGCAAGTCTATGGTTATATGAAACTTTATCCTCTAGTTGTTAACTTTCACACACACGCATGAGTCAATAAGAAAACTCCCTCATCATAAACCTGCCATTCCTAGACGACACTCTTAATCTCTGCCATGTGTGGTTAATGCCATAGATCTCATTCTATTAACAATATGAATTCAAATCAAATCATTCGATGGTGAAAGGAGAGCAGGGGCAAGCTGTAAGCCTGAAATACAATGCACTCAGTTTGAGGAAAGTGCATTTTCACAGAAGATGAAGTTCATAAAATAAGCACTATGTCAATAATGTGCCAGGACATGTCTATTAAGAGATACTTGTGAAAAAAAGATCTATGTTTATAGTAGATATTGCTTCAATGCTAATGGCCTGTCTGAGACTCTGTCATGATTTTTGTTCATAATAGCTTATCAGTGAATGATGCAAGTACTCAAGGAGACTTTTATGATGCCTGTGGTTGGTCCGAGTCTCAGCCTAAACAAGATCACAGTGAATTAGAGACTGAACATTTTCAGTGTGGGCTGAAGCTGATGTCACAGTAGTACACACCCTGATATTAAGCTTCCCAAAGCATATCCATCATCTTGATCCATTTTTTTCCTTTTTTAGCTACCCCAGCTCATTAACAGATAAGAAGCAACACATCTGTCCACAGAAATCACAAAAATCTTGTCAAAAAAAAAATAAAAATCTTTGTCTAAGGAGCCCAAGGTTCTCTCCTAACAGATCAGTAAACGTTATCTTTCTGCTTCATGCTTATCTCAGAACACAGCATAATACTGACTCTGCCAATTAGCCGCTAGTGTTTTATATGCCTTCCAGGGTATGCGCGTCAAGAAGTTTAAGATCTGAGATAATTATCTTAAGAATATACAGTGTTCAGACATCACTGTATATCGAATGCGAAGAAAAGACAGTAGAGTTTAGAATAGAGGCAAGGGTGTTCCCTTTAAAAAGAAGTGAATTCAAATTCACATGTCCCTGCTCCACCTCTTACCAAGCTCGTGTTATATATTAGCTTTCTTGGACCTCATTTTTCTCACTGGAAGAATAGGGAGAATAATGCCTCGCAGGGTTGTCATGAAGCTGAAGTGAGACTGTGTATGTGAAAGGGCTTTGAAATGTAAAGTTTCTACCTAAACAGAGGGTGATAGAGACATGTAGGGTATTCTTTTCAGGTACCCGGACAGAGCTCTAACAAGTTTTCTTATTAAATTGATCACACAAAATTGCATTGTGCGTTCTAATGTCAAATTAAACAATGCACTAGTTCACTTTTACTTCAAATCTGGTGGTATGCTTTTCTTCATAAATGGCATAAGCTCCAACCTAGAAGGTAAGACATCTTCTCAAAAAGCCTTAACCATGTGTCCAGCTTTTACTATATGATTCCCATAAGCATAGTTCTTTAAAAATTCACAGATAGAAAAATATTTCATAAACTCTTTGGACAATTTGAACTTAAGACTGTACTGGCTATCAGTTCCCATTTAACTTGAAAACTAACTTGTCACTGTAATGGTACCACAGTTCATATTATGTAATGAAATAAAATAAAAATGTTAAACCAAATATATGTAGAGTGTAAAATGTCTGTGGCACTACGTTAAAAGGACACCATCTTGATTTCTGAGACATAATCTAAAGAAAACATCATCAACATGAGCAACGATAAATTTTTAGGTGTTTCTTTAATATTTATATACAATATTCTTACCTAAGGATCAGTGGTACAGGCTTTTCATTGAAGAAAGGGCTATTTGGAAACCCCTTTACCTCCTGAAAAATGGAATACAAACTATAAAGTTGAATTGAAGGGAGCAGATGTTATCATGCGACTAAAGCTGGGTATAGAATTTTCTTTTTATATATCCTGAAAATTATGATTAAAAGAGAAATACATTGTCGTATTTCTTTCACACAGATGACATGTGAGGAACATAAGAGACATAAGACAAAAAAGTTTCCTTTGTTAAATATCTCTATCAATTCTAAGCATCTATTCTAAAAATCAAAGAAGTAGGATTTGATTTTCTCTGCATTCTCACAGAGTTTTAACACTAAAATCTCTGCAAAGATAAAAGGTGTTATAAAGTCAAACTCTGATGGGCTTTTAAAGTCAAAGCTGAATTGTACTTAGTCTTAAAGGCAAGGAAGAGCCACTAAAGAACAGAAGAAATGGGTAAATTTAAAATCCTAATACATCATGTAAAAGTATTTTCATAAAGATGATCTCCTTGGACTGAAAAATAACTATGAACAGGAAGAACATTTGGGGCTCAGAGGATGTCTTCCCTGTGTTCACATGGCAGGTGAATGGCAGGTACAGAACTCACATTTTCAGCCTTCTAGCCAGTCCTCTGGGCTCTATCTAATGTTTTTTAAAAATGTTCTAGGGAGCCCTGAAGTTGTGAGAAAGGGCTGCAGGCTGTTTGGCAGGAGGTGGGAGCACATTTCAAAGGATGAATGATGGGGCCTGGCTTAGTTTGTCGCTGCCTCCCCAGCCCCCAGCAGAATCTCTAGGGACACATTCATGTACATTTCACTCCAATCCTTTCAAAATATTTATCCTTTCACTTACTCTCATTCTTTGAAATAAATTATCTAGTTTCAATTCTCCCTTTCTCTTAAGCCTATCGACTTGGCTTCCTCAAATCACACATTTGAAGGAATGGTTATCTCCACTCTTTTTCATTCCCACTCATTATCATTTAGGTATCACCAAGAAGACTCTTCCCATTTAGGTTGATAAAACAAGGGTTGTAAAGACTCCTGGTCGCTAAATCGTAATAAATTTGAGTCGCTAATCTGTCAGGAAAAGTATTAGAGGCACGTCTAGCATCTATGTTCTCCAGCACCATCTCAGGTCAATGCGAGCAGACTAGAGACAACACAGGATTCTAATTAAACTAATAAAATAAGTAAGACAAGTAGTAAATTGCAGGAAATATTTTCTTCTCATTCCTCTAACCCTCAACTCCATCTACGAGCAAGTAAACGAACAGGCAAACATAAAACACAGACCACATGAAAACAGTATTAACTACTTTCTGACAAATACCTTTGCATCAGAAAATATCCTAAGAAAATCAGAGAACTAATTATAAGGCAGAAAAAGGATGAAGAAAATTAATGTAATTTAGATAATAAACATCCGTGCTTCATTCCCACCTCTGAATTCTCTGTGAGTGCACCTTCTCTTTAACCTTTCATCTTAAGCAAATATAAGGCAATGTAAGCCAAGCCAGGGTTCCTGAAGTCTTTAGGATAATATTTATCACTATTTCTCAAAAAGCTTTCTGGCACATCATTTTTTTGGTGAAATTCATTCACATGATTGAATTTGACACATGCTAGAAACATCGGAAGCCTACTCCCAAGACACCATAATGGCAAATGGCTTACTGTCCAGATGCCCTTATACGGCCAGACATCCTATAAATCTGACAGTTCAGTGTATGCATTGCGTATGGGTCTTGGCTCGGAGTCACATTCCTCCAGTATGTTTCCCTGGGAGCTTTGATTTCCGCTTTGAGGGCTGGCACAGACTCCTACTTGCTCTTATAAGAAAATGTCTACAACTCAAAGTTGAAAATGTGCAAGATTCCTTCTTTAAGTACACAAACACTCTTAAGTCTGGCCACTTTCCTGTAGTCCTGCCAGGTTTTCTCTATGTCTGATATCTGATCAAGTAACTTTTTTTAGGGGGGAAAAAACAACAAAAAACATAAGAGAAGGAATGTAGTACATCCAAAGTTGAATATCTCACAAGCCTTAACCAAAGGATCTGCACAAATGATGTCCATGTAGACACACACATACCTTATATAGCTCTGTAAACAGGGCTCAATGGCCAGCTTAGTGAATTCCTCATTTTACCAGGAAAAAAAAAATGCTCTCTAAAAAGCATTTGCCAGATAAACACTTGCTTACAAGACAAAATTAGTGCATCTTAACAGTTTTGCACACAAATTCAAAGACCTTTTTTCTCCCAATGCTGACCTGCTGTCAATCAAAAGGGCTGGGATAAGTCAGAGTTGGATGAAGTTATAAGAAGCCACTATTTCCACTTTACCACCCAGGTACACACAAACATTTGCTGAGTCATTTATAATAGTGCAAGAATTCAGATCTCTATGGCATGACTTAGGGACGAAGCGTCAGCCCTTCCCTCTGAATTTCCTGGCACTTGATGGCCCATATCACAATATAAACATACTTTTGAGTCTATGAATGTCTCTGGTGTGTCTCTCTCTCTCTCTCTCTCTCTCTCTCTCTCTTGCTATTACCCTACTAATAATAATCTTATTATAAACTCTTCAAGAGTTTTGATCATACACCTTATAATGCACAGGATATTTTTCTATTCTGAGATTCCGTGTTCCATGTATTTCAATATGTTGATTTTCTCTTAGCCAATATTAAAACTATCCATTTGGAGCTAACTATGGCCTTTTAAGACTTCGAGGGACCATGTGAATTTTATAGTAAAACCAAATTCTTTTTATAGTATGTCTTGGTATTTTTTAACAATACAGCAGAATGGTAATATATTTGTTATATTTGTGGAGAAACAGGAAATCAAGAAAGATTGAAAAGAATAAAGTGTCAATTCCTTGAGAATTTTAATCTAATTAGCCATCATTAAACCCTATGAAATAAAACATTCTCATTATTATCATGATTTTTATAAATAGAAACTTGGGAATAGGGCTCCTACATGTGACTTCCTTAAGATTTGTGAATGGCAGTTCCAAGAATACAACCCAAGTCACCAAATGTAACCCAGTCTAGCAATTTATCCCTTCCATGAATGAAAGTCTTCACTCTGTTGCACATGAAGTAGTGGATGGTGGCTCTCAGACTCTCCAGAAGATTAAAAAATTCCCAGTCATTCACCCTGCAAGCTAAGAGCGCTCACCACTGAGCCCACATCACCTTAGGTGAGGCTGGAGCTTCAGATCCCTACCCTTCCCCATTTACCACACCTTTCCAACCATTAGTGGTAGATGTAATTGAGGGTTTAGGTCTTGAAAGATTTTACTGTGGCTTCCCACATATTTTGGACTTTTAGAATCATCCACAAGGGAAGAAATAGTTGGGGGCTAAGTTGCCTTTAATACACATGTGGCTATTAACATAACTTGGAATGTTCCTTCTTTAAATAGGAACTGTTAGGCCTCTTCTCTTTGAGAAATGCTTGGAAAGAACATTAAACAACGATGATGAAACCCCTTCCTGAGCTTTGGAGGCCCCCTTTGCTGGCCATTCACACTGTTGACATGCAACTACACTGTACAACATGTGGACTGCTTAACAAGGTAATTGTGCACAGATGATGTGGTCTATGCTGAAGTTGGAGTGGTTATTTTTTTTTTCTTGACTATCTTTCAACAGAATAAATTGAAACTTTAAAAAAAAATGTGGCCAGTTTAAACAGGCTGTTTTCAATTTATAAATCTACAGTGTTGTTTCTAAAAGCTTGTCTTTGCATTAGAAACAGATACGTTTATCTTAAAACAATACAATGAAGCATCAACAACTGAAATGAATCTACTCATTGGTAACACCACCGCCAAACAATGCGGCATTACAACAGGAAAAACTGGCATGGCCCTGGAATCACTTTCTTTACATAAAATGGTACCTGGTGTTATTAACAAAAAAGCAACTAAACTAGATTCTAAATGAAAACGCAGTCCATTAACTGAGTCCTTAGTGAAGCTAAATAGCAATTTTAAGAAACTGAGATATGCTTAGACTTTGTTGGCCATCTTTAACATCAGCATATAAGCAGAGAGAATAACACTTGTTCCTTCCTTGACCTGATCTCACTCTATTAGGCTGCATGATCCTTGGGTAATAAGTCACAATCACTATTCATAGATGTGTGGAGAGTCACTAAAATATATTATTCACTGACACTTAGTTTATAACCACATATAATGGGGTACACTGTTCCTGTTATATAAACAGATTTTTTACTGCAAGACGAACCAAGTATAATCCACATTTGAAGATCATAGGTTTGAGTGTAAGAAAAATCACTCATTTCTCAAAGATTCACAACAGTGTTTTCAACACCCCAAGTAAACCCCAAGCTTTTTGCTGGCCCCCCTCCTAATTCCCCTCTCTTCCTACTCCTGTGTTCTCATCCCAAGATGGAGAGCCTCTATCTACTCAACACACAGTCATCCACTCTCACAGAACAATAAGACCATTTTTCTGGAAATATTGATGCCCACTCATCTCCTTTCCCTTCCTATACCACCAAAAATAAAACTATTAAATGTGTTAAGAGAAAACAAAGCAAGAGTGCTGAAAATCTCCCCCAGAAAACTGTATATACACTCAGACTTCTGGTTTTGTTCTTTCCCTTGTGGCAAGGGGCATCCAAACTGTTAACTCCATAGGCTAAAGATCAAATTCCTACATCTTCCGCATGGAATTCAGGGGTTTGCAGGTAGGCTTCTTGGGGTTTCGGATTAAAAGCAACTAACTCTTCTGCTCTCTGAAGAGTTTCAAAGGCAGACAGCCTCTAAAATTAAAATCCTTACAAAAATAATAAAAGGAAACCCTTTCGAATTTTTTAGGAATCCCTGCTGTTAGTCTCTTTAGCTACCTACATCCTAAGAAGGATGTATGCCAGTGGGTAGAACAGCCACAGCTATTAGAAACAGAAGTGAGTGGTATAAAAAAATAATAATTATTGCCGATGTGTTTTTAAGGATATAAATCAGGAGTGGTGAGAAGAGGCAAGGAGAAAAAAATCCTGTTTGGTGCTGGAAATACTGAGCCTTTCTGGAGTGTGCCAGCTTTTTCAGACGGGAGGAATGCTGAGTGTCAAGGGGTCAGGATCAATCCGGTGTGAGTTGATGAGGCAGGAAGGTGGGGAGGAATGCGAGGAATGTCCCTGTTTGTGTAGGACTCCATTCAGCTCATTGGCGAGCCGGGACCGCCCGGAGCGTATAAAAGCCTCGGGCCGCCCGCCCCAGCCTCACACAACAACTCTTCCCCGCTGAGAGGAGGCAGCCAGTGCAACTCCAACCACAGGCGACCGACCGCCTCCAGCCCGACGGCAGCCGCCCCGGCCGACAGCTCCAGAAACGACAATCCGGCGCTTGCAGGCCCCCACCTCCGGCCCGAGCCCGCGTCCCACT